TGCCTATGCGCTTCCTCACTTGTGTGTGTTAGCTTTGTGAACAGTGCTACAGTACACATGCAGTCCTAATCTTGTAAAGACCCTGATTTCAGTTCTTGTGGTCAGCAAGCCAGAGTAGGCTGCTGGATTATACACTATGTCTGTTTTAGGATAGTTTTGAGAGGCTAGCCTCAAACTTACAGTCCTCCTGCTTCAGACCTCCTGTGTGGGGGCTACCAGCAAATTCTGGAGAAAAAGTAACACTAATTTTGTTGCCATCATGTTAAATTTGTTAATTGTGTTAGAAGTGAGATTAACAGGGTGTCCTGTTAGCCAAGAGTGCAAGATGGATGGCTTCAAACTTGCTCCAGTCCTGTCTGCTTCTCAGCAGTTCTGGGAAGCTTCCTTCATCTGGGTATCAGCCACTTTAAGGGTTTATTTTTGTTCAGTCTTTAAAGACTGTTCTTGTGCCAGGCTGTGGTGGCGTACACCTTTGGCCCCAGCATTTGGGAAGCAGAGGCAGGCGGATCTCTGAGTTCCAGGATAGCTAAGGTTACAAAGAGAAACCCTGTCTCAAAAATAAACAAACAAAAAAACCCAAAAAGAAAAAAACAACAAAACTGATGTAATTGTTGTCTCCCAGGTTTACTGCTTCCATCTGCTAACCTAGGCCTAGTTCTGGAAGCTTCTAACCTCCATACAATCTTACCTGGGCCTAGAATGTTTTCATCCTCTGAGACTTACTACTGAATAAGCTCACCCTTTCTAGCTCTTTCTGAATTCTTGTTGGCTGGTTTAACTCAGCTGTTAAACTCCTCAAACTCCTCTCCAAGATGATGGACTCAACCTGGTTTCTCTCTCAGCCTCTGATGTTTTGCTCTGCTTAGCCTCCAACTAACTCTAGCAACCTGATCTGATATTTGGTTCCTTCTCATTCTCTGGCTTGTTCTGTCTTCACCTGTTTCTAGTTTGACCTTTCTGCTTCCTGTCACTGTACAACTGTCACAGAAAAACTGCCTCCTTTTGCTTCCTCTCTGCTCTGTTCTCTTAAGTAGCCTCTCTTTTCTCTCTGCTCTTCTGAGAGTTAGACATATCCTATTCTGTCAAGTCTTTTTCTGATTCATCACTTTGCCTCTCAATTAGACATCACTTTCAAACATGGGCACTTCCTTCTACAAACTAACTTTACCTTTATTATTTGGGATTAAAGGTGTACTAAGGGTGTGTCTGTATTCCAGCCAGAGGGACTAAAGGTATGTGCTCAGGCTGAGCCGCACCACAATTAGAAGAAAGTTTTTTCAATAAATGACAATCTCAAGGACCAAATATCCTGCAACATCTTGCAGTCATTTTTGTCATGTAAGTTTGAGCCTAGATGTTACTATTATAAATAGTAGCTTTTACATTACATTTTCTGTAACTATAGTTTTCTGTGTTAATGAACACTTGATTTTATAAAATGCTACTTAAGAATTTTCAGATGAAGGGCTGGAGAGTGGCTCAACCATTAAAGGCTAGACCAAAAATATAAAAGAATTTCCTGATGTGGCCAGGTGTGATAGTGCATGCCTTTAATCCCAGGAGACAGAGGCAGTCAGCCTGGTCTACAAAGTGAATTCCAAGACAGCCAGGGCCACACAGAGAAATAGAGTTTCCAGATGTGTACTGTAAATTGAAGTAGGGTTTTGCTTTCAAAGGCCAACTACTTCTGGGTCTCCACTTGAGCTTTTGTTTCTCTGATGTTGATGGCCTTAGCATTTGATTTCACACAGTGTGAGGCTCCCGGAGGAATAAAGTGTCTCCAAACCTTCATGTTGTTCTCAGACTCATTTGTGTTTCCCATGCAGACTCTCACACACAATTGTGCACGTTTTTTATTTGTGTAAATATAGTTGACATATAGCTTGTAAAATGCACACAGAAAACAATTTTCAGAACTTCTTTGACAGTGTTGCTATTGCTACAATCAAGATGCAGAATGTTGATTCCTTTGAGCCTCTGTGTTGATACCTCATCTCCAGGGACCATCTCTTACCCTGCAGTTTTACCCTTGCCTAATACCGTCACGCCACGAATAACCGTTTAAGTTGGGCCTTTTTTCACTTACCATCATGTCTTTGAGATTTATCCATGCTGTTGTATGGGTCAGGTTCTGCTTCCCCCCACCCCCACCCCGTTTATTGCTGAATACTATGCCACACAGAGACGTGTGGTGGTCAGTTTATCCCTTCACCACTTGGTAGATATGTGTTCCCTAACTTTGGTGGTTATATTTTTATAACGGGTTTTGCAGACATGCATTTTTACTTGTCTTGGAATAGGACTACTGGGGTATAGAGTAAGGATGTAGAAACATAGAGGGGCTTTTTCTTTTCCTTAAACAAAAGTATAGAGAAAACTAAAGCTGCATATGTATTAAGAAATTGCCAGGGTTGCAGAGAAACTACCATTTTGTATTCAGCGTGGCATGAGTTTCAGTTTAGCCTTTTTACTTAAATAATTTTCATTGTTGTATAGGAATATTTTGTTGTGTTTTAAATTTTTCTTTTACATTTGTTCTATTTTGTATGGGCAGAGGCGTGAGTGCATGTGTTAGAGGTCAGAGGACAATTTCTATTGTGTGGGTTCTGGGGATTCAACTCAAATGATGAGGTTTGGTAGCATGCGCCCTTATCCACTGAAGCCATCTCACTGGCCCACGCTTTATTAAGTGTTGTATGATAGGAAGCTCAGTATGTTCTCTAGAAATATTTTACAAATAGGCCTTTGTATTTGATGAATTACTAATTTGGAACTTGGAGGAGAGATCGCTACTGCCTTGCTAACTTGTCCCTGCCTACCAGCCCAGGGTTTTAAGTTTCTAAATATAAACAAATCATGGACCAATTACTCAAAAAGCTCATTTGTTTTTCTATTTATCTGAGAAAAAAAAAGAGGCTATTTTGATGGAAACTTTTGGATGTTTGCAAAACAAACCTCAGTAGTTAGTCTGTATTAGGGAGACTACAACTAAAATCATGTTCTCTCCTTCCCTACTCCCTTCTGTTCATTTGAGCCCAGGCTTTCGCCAGTGGCCCAGGCTGGCTTTGAACTGTGTGCCATGCTTGGCTGCTTTCTTTTTCAGTGTGTGTCAGGAAGCCTGTTGAGTGTTGATGCTAGGTTTCTGTTGATTGACACAGGAAAACCATGAAGAATCGTTATCTGGAGCTCTATGACCTTAATAAAGATCTGCTAAATGGATACAAGATTCGCTGTAACAACCACACAGAACTGCTAGGGAACCTCAAGGCAGTGAACCAAGCAATCCAAAGAGCAGGCCGTCTGCGCGGTAAGCGTGTCCCCAGACCTGATTTGTAGTGATATTCCGAAAGCGTGAGAACATGGAAGATTGTGGATACATTATAAAACTCACCCTGGAGCCTAAGGCAGCCTCCCTTCAGCTCTCTAGAGCTGGCCTTGGAGTCTACTCCTCACACCAAGGGCTTTAGTTTTCTCCAGACAGATTTTTGTTTCATTTTTTTTGTTTTACTTGTTTTGTTTTTTAAAGAAATAAAGCCTTGCAGGGCATGGTGGCATACATCTTTAAATCCCAGCACTTGAAAGGTAGAAGCAAGCAGCTCTCCTGTTAGTCGAGGCCAGCCTGGTCTACAGAATGAGTCCCAGGACAGTCAAGGCTACATAAAGAAACCCTGTCCCAATAAACAAACAAACAAACAAACAAACAACAAAAAAAGTAATAAAGCCCTAAATTCCTTTTCTAAGATCTTGTAGCTTCTAAAGCAGCCATCCGCAACCTGTGGGCTGTGATCCCTTTGAAGGTCACATATCAGATAATTACAATCCATAACAGTAGCAAAATGAAGTGGCAAAGAAACAATTTTATGGTTGGGGGTAACCACAACATGAGGAATTAACTGTATTACAGGGTTGCAGCATTAGGAAGGTTGAGAAGCAGTGTCCTAAAGGAAAACTTAGTGTTTATAATCCAAAGGAAGTAAATAAATTTAAGTTAGGGAAGAAAAAGAAAAGAAAATTACTGAGGCAAGTGTAGCAAGAGAACAGCAGGATAGGCCTACAGGAAGTGGAAATGCAGTGGAAATGCTGCTGATTCTGCTGCTTTGATCAAGTTCTCTTGGTTCGGAGTGTGAGCTGAGTCATCTGTACAAACCTACTTTGATTCTGGCTTGGGATGATCTCTAAGTTTGTTCTGTAATAAATTCTGTCTTTTCTAGGAAGTAGCAAGTTAGCAAAATTTGTATATGTAACTCTTTTCTACTCTGGTTTTATGCTGTCTTCAAACTGTCCTTACCCTAACCTCATATTTTCCCAGACAGGGTTTCTCTGTGTAGTCCTGGCTGTCCTGGAACTCATCCTGAAGTCCAGACTGGCCATGAACTCAGAGATCTGCCTGCCCCTGCCTCCAGAGTGCTGGGATTAAAGGCATGTGCCACCAAGCCTGGCTTGGCTTTTAATCCCTAATTTCCCTTTTAATCATCTTTTGGGATGCACTGACTTGATGTCTTATCTCATACAGTTGGAAAGCCTAAGAACCAGGTGATCAGTGCTTGTCGGGATGCGATTCGAAGCAACAACATCAACACGCTCTTCAGAATCATGCGCGTGGGGACTGCTCCTTCCTAAGAGACAGGGGAGAGGAAGGAAGCTCCTGCAAAAGGTTTTCATCTAGACATGGAGGCTGGTTGGCCTCCAGTCACATCCTGGTGAGTCCAGGCTGCTAAGGATGAAACCATGCTAACGAATACAACGAAAGACCAAGCATTCCAGCTGAAAGTCTCCTTCATTGGACATCAGTAGTATTGCTGCTGATTTGTATGAGACAGTAAGACTCTTAAAATATATTACTGTTTCAGAGTTTAACTTGTTTTTGTGCATAAAGTTAGTGTATGAATTTATCTCCCCCCCTGAAATTGTTACTGAAATTTAAAATGAGTATTTACTTTTTCATTAAAAATAAAAGACACTGGTCTTCCTTGTTGTTTATAAATTACCACCATAGCAGAAATGCACAAACACTTTTATTTTGTGGGGAAAACCAAAAATACAGATATCCATTTTTTAATCATTCAAATGTATGTGTAAACATTTATATTAAGGAAAAACAAATTTAAAGGCAGTCTATCAGCTGGGGTAGCATTAGCTGGATACAGATCTCCAAATGCATCCCGGGCTGCTCATTTTCATTTGTAAGAAACCTGAAAGGTACACGCTTAAGGACCCACTGAGGGAACCATTTTCATTCTTGTATGCAGTGGCAGCCTTAGTGGCTCCTTCCAAGCCCCGCCTGACAAACTGCCCTACAACCTTGTATTTACCCAACAGGAGAAAGGGAAGAAAGAGAGAACACAGAAGACTCATGCTTCCTAATACAGTGCAGGGTGGCCGCAAAGATAACGCTCACACTAACACAGGGCTGTCACAGGGATTTCAACTGACTTTTGTGTTTTTCCACAGTTTTAAATTCTCAACAATGAACATGCATTACTTATATAGTTTGAAGAGATATAAAGCTGTTATCTTTGGAAGGAATAACACCTTTCGGAAAAGGAGTTACAAGACCTGGAAGTTCACAGCTGGACACAGTGGTACTCTGTAATCTTAGCAGTGGCAGAGCTAGGGTATACAGAGACCCATTTCAAAAACACCAATAAATAAGAAAACAAAGAATTAGATGTGCATTAAGAGAGACATGCCATTGGTCACACAGAAAATAGCATAGCTTTTACCAAGAAGAGGTACTGAGAGCCCACATTTGACTCTTGCCCTATGCCCAAAACAGCAACCAATCAGGATCAAGAATGAAACAATAGCAAGCTTAGGCAAGGTTGAACAGACAAAGCAGCAGCTTTCTGCCTTCCAACTTGGACGACATGTTAAAAATACTCTATCTTCAACAGCCTTAGCTTACGTAATAGAACTTTATTTTAAACTTTAACTTTTAGAACTTTGACTTATAACTTTTCATTGTATAGCTGTACAAAAATATTTTCATTTTTTTAAACTTTCTGAATTTTCTGTTAAAATACTAAGTCACTCGCACACATACATGCACACAGGCCCACACACTTATGATTGTCATCATCATCACTGCCTTCTACCTGTGCGTTCTTCCCCTGTGGTCTTCGGGGCAGCAACACGTGCAGAAGAACTGGCCCCGGAGCTATGCCTTCCTCTGAATACCGTGTGAAGGATCTGCCTGAAGCACATGGGAGTTACCGCCTCAACAGCAGTGCACTCTGAGCAGGTAATGTGAGCAAGCACAGAAAGTGGTGGCCTGCTAGTGACAGTAGTGTGCACAGCTGCCTGGGCTGTACTCTCATGCAGCGGCAGCACAGGTGGCCTATTCTCACTAGGCTCACCGTGTGACTCTGAGTGATCTGGAGTACAGGAATCTTTCGGCTCCACTGTAGACTTACGGGCCCACTGTCATACACCATTCATCTCACCGACACATCAATAACGTGGCACATGGCAAACTGAAAAAAGCAGCTGCTCATCAGAGCAGAAAAGCAACCTGCAGGTTCTATCGTTCTTGCAGACCAGGAGGCGCTGTGAAGACAGAAGAACCCTTCAGGGTACTTCCCATTCAGGCACTTCGACTGGGGGGAGAGCAGGTCTGCCTTTAGTCTGCAGCAGTTCAGAAAAGGGAAGTTGCAAAATTAATCATTAGCAACAAAGTATGTGGAGTCCTACTTGAGCACTACTCTGTTTAAAGTGCTATGGCGTCTACAACAGTATGCACGGGCAACAGTCCATCACTGCCTGGCGAGGGAAGACAACTCTAAAACTAGGTCTGGATAGTCTTCTTTTATCTTTGATTTTTTGAATCAGGGTTTCACTGAGTAGCTCTGGCTGTCCTATAGTACCTTTTTGTAGACCAGGCTGGCCTTAAATTCACAGATCTGTCTGCCTCTTCTGCTTCCTGAGTGCTGGGATAAAGATGCATGCCTCCCACTCCTGGCTCGATCTTTGTTTTTGAGACAAGGTGTACTGTTGCCCAGGCTGGCCTTGAATTTGCTGTGTGATGGAGGGTAGTCTTGAACTCTTGATCCTCTTGCCTCTACCTTCCAAAATCTGGGATTAAAGTATGGCCCCCTCAGTTTAGGTCTGGATATTCTCATGTCATTATTTAAAATTACTTTGTTTTATGATTAATACTACAACATATAAAACTTGTAAGTATCCATTAGGTTATGAATGTTAAACGTGTTTTGCTGACTGGGGTAAATAAAACAAATTGAAAGCCATCAATCTAAAAGACAATGCATTTGAATGGACTTTTAGGATGCCAGAGAGTCGTGAGTAAGACACTTGAAGGTCCAGTGCTTTTCCTACTACTAAGTAAAGTCCATAAGGACGTTACTGAAACCCGCAAGGATAGTCAGAAAACAAGAAAGCAGCAAATGGAGGCCGTTTGGGGTGGTGTGAGGACATCTCTCAGCCATCATGCACACCCCTACAATGGGAAGAGCTATGCCACAGCCCCATGGAGCAGTTCACAGAAAAGAACAGAAGCAAAAGGAGGCCTTCTTATCCTCCTTTTAGCATGGGGTCTTTCAAAAGGAAGGAAAAGGCAACAAGTTCCACACCTGGCCCTCCAGCATTTAGGATCGCACAGTCTCTGAGAGGCTAGACTCAGAGAAGCCATGGTTCCTGGTTTAGAAGGCAGTAGACACGAGAGGAAATACATAGGGCAGTAAGCAGCTATGGAATTCCTGGGGCTATGTTAATTTCAGTCAGACCTTTTCCAAGAGAGCAAGACTACCTAGCTGAGTATACCCTGTCTGAGAGTCAGGGTCGAGCTCAGCCCACAGTGGGAGCAGAGTAATGACTCCGACTATGTCACAGTTCATAGGCTCAGCATGAAGAGGGTTACACATGTTTCTACAACCACTTAGGAGTGAAAAAGAAAAACACTGGAAATGCTGATAGACCCTGAGGACTCTGTGCTAAATGAAACAAGCCAATTAGGAAGCAAGACATACTGTTCGGTTCACTTGTGAGGCAAACAGTCAACAGAGAAGGGCAGCAGCATTTCCCTTTGGGAAGACAGAAAACCATTCCCATTCTCTATGGGATACGGATGTTTTCCAGATGGCAGTGATGGGTGCTTGGGAGCACTTCTATGTGCTCAGTTCCACAGACTATGCATGCAGGAATTGGTAGGTGCAGTGGCTCATGCCTGCAATTCCAGCATTTAGGAGGCTGAGGTGGAAGAATCAGTACTTCAGAGCTAGCCTGGGCTACATAGTAAAACCCTGTCGAAAGAAACAAAACAAAACCGCAATCCAAAAAAAATGTTACTCTGCTAAATTTTGTATATACGCCATAAATTTTAAAAAAAATCACCAAAGTTAGAAAGTTGCCAAGGCAGTTACTATAGAACCAAAAGAACTCAAAAGGGGAAAACATTTTTTAAAAACTGAGGGATAAGTACATAGCTCTAGCATGATGTCTAGATTGAGGACAATCATGAATTTTATGAAAGGATGACCAAGATTTGTTTTGTTTTGGGACAGGGTCTCACTGTGTAAGTCACACTGACCTTGGGACTGAAGGTCCCCTTCCTCTACCTCCTGAGGCTGGCATTACAGGTGTGTACCAGCACAGCCAGCAAGGACAGCCTGTTACCCAGCATGCCATGCTTTCCTTCACTCCACCAAGACTCCATGTCCCCTGCACTGGAGTGAATGCTAGCTGGCTTTGCCCAATCTTGTTACTCGTAATAGACGAAGGCAAAGTCCCAGAAACCGCTTCTGTTTGGGAAGTTTTTCCTTTGCTCCAGGCTTCGGTGGTTAATGTGCTTCACAAATCTCAGAGTTTCTCTGTCTCTGTAGACCAACGCCAAGGAATTGTTTTCTGGATTCACTATGAGCAACTGTAACAGGAAACACAAGACACATGAGAATCCAGAGCCCATTCTCCGTTCAGCAGCAAGTCACTACAGGGCAGGCGATTTCCGTGGTGAGTATTTGAGCTGGGGAGGAGGTTCCAAAGATGTTTTTATCAGGAGACGAGCTTTTCTCTGTCTAGACATTTCCCAAGAAGCTCTGCCTCACTAGCACAAACTCAGAAAAGGTTTTGCCTAATGTGTCTGTTTCCAACTACCTAGAAAGAGTGCTGGGTGTGAACCCCTTAACAGAGGCCCCCAGTAAGGCAGAACAGTATGTGCTGATTTTCCTTTCACAGCATTACTGCAAGCTCAGTATTTTCTTGTAAAATTAGAGCCACCTCGAGGCAGGCCAACATGGATTTATCAGCTAAAAACACTGGCTAAGGTAATAAAATTTGTGTTCCTTGCCAGTCGTGGTGGCTCACACCTGTAGCATCAGCAGTTGGTTGATGGAGGCAGGGGTGTTGTGCCAAGGATGAGGCCTGCCTGGGGCCTTTAGTGAGGCCCTGCCTCAAACAAACAAACAAACAAACAAACAAACAAACAAAACCAATATGTGAATAAATTGTTGTCTGAAGAACAGAACTTTGTCAAGAGCTAGAAAGGAGAACTTGTGAGAAGGAAGCCACTTACCTCTTCATCTTCACCTTTAGCAATGTAGGAGGTAAAGCCACCATATTCCGGCTCCCAACCTGATGAAGGAAAGACAAACAGCACTGAGCTCCCACTGCCAGAGTGACTGCCTGCTGAACAGGCTCTGGGACTTCTGTATTGGCCTTTAGCATCTGTTATCATGGATTCCCTCTCAGTTAAATGCCTAATTTCCCCAGACAGCTGAACTGAAACCCAGGCTTACTAATGAATACTGAAAGGGGAGATTAAAGGAATTAACCTTTGCATATCCAGAAATAAATCCTATTTGGGGAGCCTGAAACTCACCATCCCCACCACCCTTTAGAATTCTGAGATTGTGGCCACAGGCAAGCAAGCACTTAAGAACTGGCTCAGCTGGAAGGGCTCTGTCTGGAGAGGCTGCCTGGGCTAAGGAGGCGATTCACTGCCTCACTCCTTCCTACCTTCACAGCCACAGTACAGAAACAGGTCCAGGGCAAACTCAGTCTTGCTGTTGTCATGGATTAATGTGTAGTGACCAGTCTTCCAACGCCTCAGCTCCCCCTGGCACATGGGAATGCTTGATTCTAAGAAAACACAAAATAACGCCCAGTAAACTTTTTACAACTTTGATACAAATGCATGACCACAAGGCCACACCATAAGGTCTTGTGTCAGTCAGAAGTTAGAAGGTCTTATTATTGACTGGGGAGAATGCTGAGTTTTAACTTCCCCCACTCCCTGGTATCTCACTACGTAGGCCTAGTTGGACTCAGAGAGTCACCTGCCTCTGCCAATTGAATGCTGTGACTAAAGGGGCCTGCTACCACGCTTGGCTGAGCTTCAGTCTCTTTACATTTTAGATGAAGTAGAGATTTAATCACAAAACGAATCAGTAAATAAATAAACCTTGAGTATACTTTTATGTATCTTATGTCACCACCAAAGCAGGGAACATGGAAGGTAGCTAGATAGACTGATTATTATAACCTGCTGCTGAGGGTCAAGCTGAGGAGCCAGGAATGGCAGACAAGCACTTGACCACTGAGCTATAGCTGGAAGAGCTGGGGTCTTTTCAAAGCCCACACTAGCCTTGAGAATGCAGTCCTCTTCCCTCAGCCTCCTGAATTCTGGGATTACAGGCATCCCATCATGCCCAGCTTTGAGCACTAAAATATTTCGTAAAGTCTAAGTGTTAGGGACAGAGTTCAGTGGTACAATCCTTGCCTGGCATGGCCAAGTTTTGGGTTCCATTCCCAGTGCCACAAAATTACAAAACACTTTATAAAGTTTAAAGAAAGATGGCGACCCTGTGGCCTCCACTGCCTCTTGGTTATAGACCCGGCTTAGCTCCTTCCTGTGGATCTGTTCGGCTCTCCCTTCTAGCCAACCCCATTCCTTTGTGTCAGCTGCAGATATCTAGAAATGCTTTCTGCCTGGGATCTCCAGTGAGCACCCTAGGACGGGACTCAGGTAAGCCGGTTTTCATTCTCCTTTCCGGTCTCTCTGAAGCCTGCAACAGCCTGCTCTCAGGGACCTCTCCTCTCAGCCTACCTCCACTCCCTGAGGATTCCACCTCTTAGTAGGGACCCAGCCTAGCTATTTCCTGCTGACCCTCTTAGCTTGCCCTCCTAACCTAACACCATTCCTATATCAGCTGCAAAAAATAGAAACTCTTTCTACCATGGGCCTCGGTGCCACAGCTGTTCTCACTGTCATCCTTGTCCTCCTCTACGAGTGCTCCCTCTCACCTCCCTCTCACCCTCAGCCTGCAGCAGCCATTTCTCCAGGGCCCCTCCTCTCAGCCAACCTTCATTGCCTAACGACTCCAACTCTTGGTACAGACCCAGGGCTCCCCTAACCCCTCCATCCTCGTCTCCGCAGACATCTTGTCCTTCTGCAGCCTACCTGTAAGAGCCCCTCCTTTCGCCATGCCTCCAACTCCCTGGGGACCTTGCTTCTTAGAGCAGACAGGATGCCCTAGCTCATTCCCACAGTTGCTCAGCCTTTTTGCTTGGCCCATCTCTGTTCCCCTCTGCCACCCACTGACCGGTAGAAGCACTCTCTACCAGAAAACCCACAGCCACACCACACTTTCCTAAAATCCAGAGAGGGCAACAGAAACCAAGATATCAACACCTAGAATCACTTCAGTCATAATACAGATGCTTAGACACCAGCACAGAAATACAAACATGGAGAGCCAAAACAAAATGCCTGCACCAAAACCCAGTAACTCTACTACAGCAGGGTCTGGGAAAAACAAGACAGCTGAAATACAAGACACGGGCTTCAATTATGACTATGTTCAAAGACCTTAAAGAATATGTGAATAAGTCTTTTAACAATGTCTACAAAACCACAAGGAAATGGTGGGATGAATTAATGAACGGTTCAAGACATGAAAACTGAAAGAGAATAATTAAAGAAAACCCCAATCTGAAAAACTGAAGTGAAAAATTTCGGAAGTCATACAAAAACCTCAGAGAGAAGCCTCACCAACAGAGTGTGAGACATGGAGGGGAGAGTCGTTCAGGCCCTGAGGACAAGGGATAAGAAGTGTTATAGAAAATATGAAATCTAAAACAAAAAACAAACTCTGACACAAAACAACCAGAAAATCAGGGGCACTAGGAAAAGAATAACCTACAAATAACAAGGAGAAAAAACCTAGGTCAAAGACACAGAAAATATTTTCAACAGAATCATAGAAAAAATATTTCCCAGTGCAAAGAAGGAAATGCCTATAAAGCTATTTATAGGCATTTACATATATGCATTTAAATGCCTACAAGAAGCATATAGAACAACAAATAAATAAGACCAGAACAATTCCACACGACACAGAATAATTAAAACACCAAATGTATAGAACAAAGGAAAAAATATTCAAAACTACAAGGGAAAAAGATGAAGCAGAGAGAAGACCAAGTAAGGGCAGGCAAATTAGAATAATAGCTGACATATCAGTGGAGACTCTATGAGCTAGAAGAGTCTGAATGGATGTTCTACAGACTCTTAGAGACCACAGATGTCAGCCCAGATTACTATACCCAGCAAAGCTATCCATCACCATAGATGGAAAAAGATAAGATATTCCACGATAAAACTGAATTTAAGCAATACTTATTTACCAATTCAGTTCTATAGAAGGCACTAGAAAGAAAACTTTGGTCTGAAGATGTTAGCTACACACAAGAAAACAAGGAATAAATAATCCAAGAAAAAAAATCCACACCATAACAAATAAATAGCAAGAATCAATAAACACTGTTCATGGATAACTATTAATACCAATGGTCTCAATTTCCACCAAAAAGACACAAACAGAAAAGATGGGAAAAGAGATACAGCCTTCTGATGTATCCAAGAAGCCATACCATTAGGGATAGATATCACCTTAGAATAAAAGGATGGGAAAAAGTATTCTAAGAAACCGGACTAAAAAAGAAAGCAGGTAAAGCCATTTTAGTATCTGACAAAAGATATTTCAAACCAAAAGTAATCAGAAGAGAAGGGAAGGACCCTAAAAACTCAAAGGGAAAACCCACAAGAGGATAGTGGAATCGTAAACATTTATGCACCAAACCCAGAACTAAGCCAGGTAATCTCAAAGGATCAAATACAAATGGCTGAGAAACACTTTAAAAAAAATCAACATCCTTAGCCATCAGGGAATTGAAAATATTGAGAGTCTATCTTATACCACCATCCAGATGGCCAAGATCGAGAAAACAAATGATAGCTCATGTTGTCAAGGATGTGTGTGGTCACTGAAGGTGAGAGTGTAAACTTGTACAGCCACCATGAAAATCAGGGTGGCAGTTCCTCAGGAAGCTGGGAATGGCTCTAGCTCAAGATTGCTACTACTCTTGGGCATGTACCTAGAGGACCCCATCTTATTCAGATACATCGTTCATCGATGTTCCTTGCTGTTCTGCTCCTAATTGCCAGAAATTGGGAACAGTGTAGATGTCCATTAACCGATGACTGGATAATGAAAATGTGGTGCACTTACACAATGGAATATTATTGAGATGTTAAAAATGAAATTATGATATTTGCAGGTAAATGAATAGAACTAGAAAAAAAATAATCCTGGGTAAGGTAACCTAGATCCCAATAGGCAAATATTGTATGGTATCTCTTATATGTGGATATTAGTTTTTAAGCATTTGATACTACAATCCATATAACCACAGAGGCTAGAGTAAGGGACTTAGAGAGAGGAAAGTATCTCTGAATGGAACTATGGGGAGGGACAACTAACAGTAAGGGCCACTCGAGGGTCATATGGAAACCTACTACTGTATAAGTTTCCTAAGATAGAAACACATGTGCAAGAAATATAAATGGAGTCAACAATGTCCCAGCTAGCCATCTTCTGCCATCGAGTGAAACCTCCAGTGCCAGGAATGGATTACATCTAGTTGAGTCATTGGCCAAAGCATCTCCAAACCCCAAACATCTCAGGCCATTGCTAAGGTTATTGGTCATTCTCCATAAACTGATGGTAAGGCCTATTACCGAAAACAGCATTTACATATCTCACTGAACATGGAGAAGTCAGGGAGGTGCCTAACTAGAGGCTTCACCCCTCCTGATTAGTGTTCAAGATACTGGAAGGTATCTCTGCATGCTGTCAGATGAGAAAAGGTAACCATCAACCCAGCCACAAACCCTGTGATCTACAAAGGAGGACTACTTGAAAGATATGCTGGCGTAAAAGTGGCACAGACACCGAGGGAGTAACCCACCGTGCTGATTGGATTTAAGGCCTTCTCCACAAGAAATAACCCATGCCTGACACGGCCCAAACCCAAGACAGGATATATCACAGGCCTAACAGAAAACCAAATAATAGTGTTCTGCTAAAGGAACATAACAATGGCTCCTAATGAGATTCTGCTAGTCCCATAGATCTTGCTCAGCCGTCAGAGAACCTTCTTGCAGTACATGGAGACTAACACAAATACACACAACTGGACAATATGGAGAAACGGAAATTTTGGAATACTCAGTCCTAAGTGGGATGTCTTTATCAAGCCCTCCTTTCAGGGCCCAGGGAGCTATGTAGAAGAGAAGACAGAAAGATTGTTAAGAGCCAAAGGGGATGGATGACTCCAAACACACAAAAACAACAACTCCAAATGACTCTTCCACACCCAACAGGACCGATGCATGTACGAATTCACAGAGACCATGGCAGCATGGACACAGCACTGTAATGGGGTCATGTGACAAAGGATGACCATGACTGAGCAGCCTCAGGCGAGAGGGTGATGTGGGAAAGCTTCTCTGAGGAAGTGCCGCTGCTCAGGTCTGAATGAGAAGACGAGCATTTTGGGGAGGAGATCAGCTAGTATACTTTATGAGCATGAGAACAGCCGGTGAGGGGCATGTCCCTGAGGGAAGTGATTCAAGATGCTATGTAAGCCTTCAGCACTGGGTGAGCTTTCTTTGTTTTCTGGGTATGGATGTGACCTCTGCCATCTCCTAGGAGAACTCAAGATCCCTGGGAGCTGACTTTGTTTTGTTCTCCTGTTCCTGAGGTGGAAACGGTGCAATCGTAGATCCCCAGGAAGTACTTGTTACATGGGTATCGATAAATCATTTGAGTCTGGTGCCTTAGACCATGCCCATCCTGACCCCCAAGGATAAATCAGTTAAATGCGAAATGGTTTCAGGGGAAAATAAAGGTGAGTCCTAACACCAGCTTACCTTTCTTTTCTTTGTCTTCTTGTGGTTCCGGGTCTGCCTGTTCACCATTCTCTTGACTGTGGCTGCCAGCAGCTGCCTGATTATTCTCTGGCCCTGAGGGGCTCTGGCTGGTCCCTTCTTCAGTGTCAGCAGCAGCACTGGCTGTCTCCCCCTCTCCTTTCTCCTCAGTCCCATCGTCTTCTGAAGGGGCCAAGAAGTGAAGCTTCAGGCCAGTGAAGTTGGACAGCAGCAGGAAAAGTGCCTCTGAGCGAAGCAGGTCCATGCACTCCTTCAGGATATCAGGGAGATGAGCTTCTTCTGCTTTCTCATAAAATCTGAAAGCAGCAATGGCAAGCTCCTTAGTTCCTACATGTTAGAGTGCCATGCAGTCAAAGCTGGGCATTAGCTTTGAATCTTTCTCCCTAACCGATGGCACAACTTATGAAAACGGTGAGTCTCTGCTAAGAACTGCTACATACAGCATGTCCTGGGGAACGGAATGTTAAGGCAAGAACCCTACAGGGATGAGCTATGTGGATGAAAAGGAGATGCTAAATCCAGATGGAACCACCTGCGACGGCGACCCCTACCTTTTGTTTGGGGGTCCGTGGCTTTTCCATTCCACATCTCCTTTCTCCAAGGCTTCACAGACCTTTGCAAATTTCTCAGGCTGGAAAATAAGCAAATAAAGAAGTTGGCAAAAAAAAAAAAAAAAAAAAAAAAAAAAAAAAAGGAAAGAAAAAAAAAAGAAAAAACTTCGTGCCGGGCAGTGGTGCCGCATGCCTTTAATCCCAGCACTCGGGAGGCAGAGACAGGCAGATTTCTGAGTTCGAGGCCAGCCTGGTCTACAGAGTGAGTCCCAGGACAGCCAGAGCTATACAGAGAAACCCTGACTTGAAAAACTAAAAGAAGAAGAAGAAGAAGAAGAAGAAGAAGAAGAAGAAGAAGAAGAAGAAGAAGTAGTAGTAGTAGTAGTAGTTGGCAAATCCTTCTGCAGTCCCTCACTATTCCAGGAGGAGAAGCAGCTCTGTAGAGTATCAGCTGGCTGATTCCTGAGGAGACCATTTGAATATTTCCTCTTTCATACAAGATTTCTGTGGCACCTATACCTAAAAGAGCCAAGTGTTGTTGGGCTATTTCCATAAAGTGTTTGTAAATTTATTACTAAAGATTTTTATTTGCACATATGGGTGTGACGTATGTGAATGTGTGCACATGGATACATGCACCCATACATGTGTGAGTATAAGCCAGAGAAGCATCTCTTCCACTGGTCCTTCACTGAGCCTGGAGCTTGTGGTTCCCAGACCCTCTCCCCACTAGGTTGGAAGCCAGCAACTTCACCCTCTTATCTCTACAAACACATGCCCACACGAGTGCTAGGGATCTGAGCTTAGACCCTCATGCTTATGAAACAAATGGTCTTACCCACTGACCCTTTCCCCAGCTTTTAGTGGTTGTACAGCTTGGCTTATGTGAAATTGCTAAGCACTACATTTCAAATTCCTAGTGACACTAACTCCTCTTGGAGTCTTAGGATGTCATGAGGAAAAGTTAAACTGCATTAGCTAGTATCACTAAAATGGACATCCCTGCACAACAAGATAGACTCTCTTGGTTCCACTTCTCCCCTCATTTAAGAAGCTTTCAAATTTAGAATAGTCAAATATAATGTATGAAACTGGTTTTCTATTAAAATATATCTATAGGAGGCTTTACTTAAAACACTATTATGTGTATATGGGTGCTTTGCCTGAATGTTTATGTATATGTGCATTGCCCATGCGGGCTAGAAGAGGCACTGGGTCCCCTGGAAATGGAGTTACAGACAGTTGTTAGCTGTTATTATTTCAGTAACAAGATAATGCCCCTCAAATTCTGTACCATTCAATGTCTGCTGTGAAATTCTGACAGAGTCAGTTTATAGAACCCCTCCTCCTTTTTCATGGAGGAAGAGCTCTTGGGAATGTGTATCCGTGTATCCACCGTGGTCATGAAGTGCTCTGTTAGTACGTGATATCTCACGTAGTTCTCATAACTCAGCAAGAAAGGCAAGTGAT